TGTGATCGATTTATTCGTTTGCATTTATTGACTCGCTTTGGTTTACTTGAAAAACAACCCAAGTAGCTTGTTTAACAGCCTTACGTTTACAATCACAATAACGCTACCAGTATTTCCAATTATACCTTTGAGCGATGCTTCATTAACACTCACCAGGTAACCAACATTAATCCTAACCTTGCTTGCTTGTTCACTAAGCAAATAAACGTGGCTTTTTACCAAAGCTCCACAATTGTTACCTTTTACCAAGACATTAACTACACTTGTTGCTTTTATCAAGGCGCTTTAAACAAAGGAAATAAAGACAATATTTTTGTTTAACGATTAATTTTATTTAATAAAAATAATGATTCTATCAGAGTTTTATTTTATTAGAATGTTAATTATCCTCTGCGAGGACAGAAGTTATCTTAATGAAATTTTTGTTGATCAATACAATAACTTAATAAATATTGATATAATTATTTACATAGTAATAGTGATGATAATTAATACACTAAAATTAGAACATAAAATACCGAATCCCTAATTATCTGCCCAATCATGTATTCAGCAAAAACAAAGGAGAGACGAGAAAAATATAAAAAAAAGACCTTGGAATATATATTTATAAGTTTTTTTTGTAAGCTTTTATATATTTTATTAGCCTTTAAAACAATTTTACTTGCGTAATTTTTGACTTAATGACAGCGAATTTGACGTTTTACAATTTTGGTGACATTTCGTCAAACAACATTGTTAGTATCATTAAAGGACTCAATAGGTTGGCTAAGAAGGTATAAAAATACTTTATGCTTTTATGTGGTTATTACTTTATAGGGTATCTGTTAATAAGTTTTATGAAAAAAAATTCAATACTTAGACCAAGGAACAATTAGATACTTGGCCACTAATACTTGAGTGACAATGCAATGGAACCATTTAATTGTTGAAAAGCCAGATTAGAGTATATCAAGCTATCAGGTGTATTTGGTTAGCACTAGGTTGATAAAATCAACGAAAATAAAGTCGATTTGAGTAGCTGAAAATCTAAAGATAAAATTGTCTTTAGACTACAAAATCGTCTTTAGTCTTAATCGATTGATGGATGAAACACAAAAGTTGACCTTAGTCACAAAAGTCAATAAAGTAGAACCATTTTTGCCATTATTAATAACTTTTTCATTCTCTCCTTCTTCGCCATCATCATCATCATCTCTTTTTATTAACTCATTCTTGAATTGCATCTATCGTTTTCTTCTTAGAATTTGTTTTCTTTGGTCCATAAGGTTGGAATATTGATATTGTGCCATTGTTTGTTGAAAAGAGCACAAGAATATAATGTTTTGTAATCATTTACAATATTTCAGTTAGAAGTTCTACTGGCAACCTTATTTTTTGGTGAGATGAGACACTAAATGAAAAAAATTTATTTATAAAAATAATTTATTTTGAATATTAAAGCTAGAGTGACGGCGAGTAGCGATAGCCACCACCACCATTCTTTTGATAAACACTTACCCAGCAATTTCTTCTCGATTATTTTCTTTAATTCGTTTTCTGTTTCCTGATAACATTTTTCCAAATCATATTTAATAAAAATTATTTCGTTAAGCCGAATTTCTACTTGATAAACCGACTTAATGACAAAATAATAAAAATGTAACCTTCCAAGCCGAATATGACCATAACCGGCTTAAAAATAATGCCATCTACTTTCTATAAAATTTCTACTTTAACCATGTCAAGTCCTAATAAAAATAGTACGAAAATTACCAAAATTTAGAATAATATTGAAATTGGTAATGTTGAAGTTGAAATTGATACTGAACAAGTAAATCGAGAAGTTCAAGATTTAATTAACTAACTCCCATTTGATGATTCACTTTTAGCGGACGAGTATTCAAATATTGATAATAACATGGTTGCAGGAATTAGTAATGGAAGGCGAGGATATTGTTGCATTAATTCAACCAACAGAAATAGACGAGCAACAGGATGAAACCTTTATTCCAGAAATTTCTATTACAGACACCATAATGTTTTAGTACCCTCTAAGTGATTTCGATGTATGCGAAGATGAATTAAAGTGCATTCGTGCTCTTGGAAAAAAATTATTAAGTCATAAGATTAATAGTTCGGTTTAATTGGACTGTATTGATAAAACTATCACATAAACATGTTCAGCTATAGTACCAATCCATTTTAGTATGGTTTGTTTTCCTATAAATTGGATTTTAAGTGCTTTCTTGAGCCGAGGATTGTTTTTAGAAGAAGAAGGTGATGAAGCCGAATATGAAATTACATTTTCCATATTTCATCTGGTAAAAGGGGAATATGATTTAAATCATCAGGTGTTGGTTTAATTTAATCAACTGCTAGACTCTCTAAAGAGTCATCCATTTACTTGGGTACAGTAATCCACTAGCACCCTATAAATACTATAAGGAAAACATACTGAATATGCGCGAGAAAATACATTCCGTGTGTTTTTTTTTTCGGTATTTAATGCACCATTTAATATTAGTATTAGATAATAATAATAATAATAATAATAATATTAATAATAAAGCTTATATTTTCCGTATATTTCCGTACGTATGCAGCTTTCAGTATTAGTATATACAGGAAGATTCGGTAAATTTTCTGCATGGTAAAAATGAAAACACACCAGATTGTGAAGATTGCACATAATTTTTAAGGACAATTGTAATGTTTTTTGATTATTTGGGTAAAGATTTACAATTTTTTGATTGTATGTCTGACATTTTAACTCTACTTCTCTCTTCTTCCAGCTCGTAATAACAAAAATTATAAATTCCAAATAACAACAACAACAACAATAGTACTAGTAGTACTAAATAATTTTGATTTTTCAAAATTTAATTGTTATTAAAAAATTTATATTTTTAATAAAAAATATGCCGAAAATGCCATACAAAAGTGATTGGATAGTTGCACTTTTAGGATATCTTAAAAGCCCAAGTATTTTTTAGCGTATTATTTATCCGGCTATGAAATATATTTCAGTAGTAGTAGATAAAATCGTGTCGAATTTACGATATATTAATATTATGAATATGTAAAACGTATGCGCAAGAGTGTGTGAGAGAAGTATATATATGTGTGTGAGAGATAGAAACAAATCATACATTACCACTGATTGGGATTTTTAATTAACAATTAAGCGATTTTTTCTTTGATCTATTGTTTCTTTGATACTAATAATGATTACAATATAATGATTATAATTAAAATGTATATATATGTAATTTTTTCATGAGAAATTAAATGTCAAAATGGCATCCATTTCAACTAATGGTCGTCAATTAATAATAGAAAAAGAAGAGCAGGGAGAAGAAGAAAGGAGGAAAGAAGAAGAGGAGGATTCATCTATAATTAAATCACCTTCATCGCCGTCATCACCCTCATCATCACTATCCTCTCAAAATTCTGACCCAGAAGGAAAAGAAAAAGAGAAGGATGCGAATGTGGTAATAGAAAGAACATCTGTAATTTCTATAATATCATCGTCATCACCATCGACAACTACAACAACTACAACAATGAATTCGATAGAACCATCCACATCAACATTTTTTAGAATAGCATCGAATAATGAGGAAGAGGAAGAACATTTTAACCAAGATAATAATTGTAATAATGAAGAAGATGATGATGATGGAAGAGATTATGATTGGTGACTATTAAATTGTTTAAGTTAATTAATTAAATTTAATTAAATTTCTAACTTTGGAAATTTATTTTTAATTGATAGTAACAAAAATAATAACAATGACAATATTAGCAATAGTAGTAATATTAGTAATAGAAGTAGTAATATTAATAGTAACAACAATGTCAGCTGTAGCAGTAATATTAGCAATCTCAATAATAACATCAATAGTAGTGGTAGTAGGATCGACGAGAAGTTGATGTCCAAATTAAAGATGGAAATAATGGAATCGGTAATCAAAGAACAAAATAATGTCAACAGCATCAATAACAATAACAAATCAAAAAAATTAAAATATTCAATAAATAAAATGCTTCAACAAAAATTTGAACAGTTGAGAATAGAATTGAAATCGATTTTCAACGAAGTAGAAAATTTGAAAAAAGATATCGAGATAATCATTAAAAAAGATATAGAGATAATAATTAATAATAAATTGAAAGAATTCAACGAGATTAATAATAACAATTTTGAAATTTTGAAAATGGAAATATTAAAGATCATCGATAAAGAGTTGATTGAATATAAAATAATTGTTAATAAAATAATAGAGAGACAAATTAATTTAAAAAATAACACAATAAACGATGACAATAACGATGATAGTAGTGGTTCTGAAACTTGCGGTAATAATCGTAAAAATAATCTAAATCTAAATCTTAACCTTGATCATAGTAAACTTAGTCATGATAGTAATAACGTTGGTGATTATTATTTAGACGAGTTGGAAAATATTAAAAAAGAAATTATAAAAATTAAAATATTAATCAAATTAATTATAATGTTTGTCATAGCATTAATTTTATTAAATTTTATTATAATGTAAGTAATTAAAATTAAAATTTGCAACTTTGTTCTTTATTAATTTATTAATAATCATATCTACCTACTTTTTTTTTCTTAGGTTTAAAGCCAATAATAACTTTATCAGGATATCCACTGATTTTCTACCTTCACCTTTGTAAAATTCATTAATTTAGATTATAAAAATGGCATTATATTTATATCTCTACTAAACACATCTATTACTATGCATCTAATCAAATTTTTTATGATTCATGTAAAAATAATCATTATCAAATATAGTAATTTAACATCATAAAATAAAATCGTTAATATTTAGTCCCATAAAGTTCGTCGTCACCATTTTTATTTTGATGAATCTCACTTAAAGATTCTTTTCTTTTGAATTATTAAAAGAGGCGAACTCAGACTGTTAAAATAAATAGCTAGAAAAATAAATTCATGTTATATGTATATGAAAGGACTTATCTTTATCATTGCCCAAAGAACCATTTGCTTCAATAGCATTGCCATTGTCAACGTCAACTGAAATACTATCTTTAGCAGTTTATTATTATTATCAGCATCATCTTTAGGTTAATGTCTTTTGTCAAATCGATTAAACCATAATCTGGTATTAAATTGTTTTCTATACTGTATCTTTCAGAATTGTCTCTTAATAGAAAATAAAAACTTAATAATAATAATAATAATAATAATTACATTATTTAGTTGCTGCTCTTTTATATTATCTCGATGATAAAAAATTGAATTGATTGCAATAATAATAATAATAATAATAATAATAATAAAATAACCCTTGTCCCATAGTCATAATTGTAATATAAAATTATAAAGTTTATATTTTAAATTTTATATTATTGTCAGCTTTATATTATTAAAAAAATGGATAGGCAAATCAAATCAATTCGTTGTTTCTTTCGTTATTTATTTTGTTGGAAAAAGTTTCTAAATTCTTTAAATTCGTTATTGGGTTACCATATCTTGGAATGGATAAAAAAGACATGTATCTCTATAACCTAACAGTTTTAACGTCATTTGATATCCTAAAAAGTAAAATTACTTTATCACATTATTATATTTGATATTATTAAAAGGATTGTTGGAATTGCTTTTTAAATATTCTGCAGAATCTCGAAAGGTAAAAAATTCGAATCTAAATTTGGGGTTTTCGCTCAAGATAAATTATATTCCTTGGATCTTTTATTTTATGATTTTATCTAAAAACTCATGGATGCTTCTAATTCATTTTTTTTAATATCAAAAAAAAAAACAGTTCATAATTGGCTTCGACGATTAAAATACCAATACCATATTACTTTCGTAAGCGGGATTCTTCCTGTCATGACTTGCTATTCCAAATAACATTACTAGATTATATAGTATAAATCAATCTTATCAAATCAATGAACTATTTTTGCATATTTACGATTGTTTTAACAATTTATATTCTGTATTATTTTTATAAATTTTTACATAATCTTCAATTAATTTATCCGTCATTTCGCACTTGGCTTATTTCATTCTATTTCAATTGACGAATATCTATTGTTACCCCCACTATTATTTGTTGAAGGACTATGTGAACGTGAATTATGTTATTGCCATGATGACCATGATTACCATTTGCACCAGAAGAGTTGTCTTCTTGGTTAATATGCTGATTACGATGAGATGATGTTGTTCCAGTAGTTTTATTATTAGATATGTACGATGATGATTAGACACTTTTTTTGATAGTAGGCTCGGCCATTTCTTTACATTTGTTCAATAAATTATATGCTATTTCACCAATACCAGGTATACTAGATTTTTTACCAGTTTATTATTAACCACTATATCCAACCCACAACTCAATTATACTTCCAAATCGATAGGTAGATGTTGAATGGTCTTCAATAATCTAAGAAGTAAATTGCTATCAGAAACTTTGTTTTTTCTTTTACCCGGTCTCTTAAAATATGGTTACACCTTTCTTTTATTAGTCTTTGTAAAATTGTTGGATCATGTACACTTTTTGTTTTATGAAGAAACTCATAGGCATAGTTGGCAGATTTTATGCTCGAATTATTATATAAATGTTCCCTTGTATCTTTAAAAAGGTTCAGTTGTTGAAGTCAGATTCATTAAGCAAATAAAAAAACAAAGTTTGTATTAGTATTGGCATTGCATCATGTCTTTGTGTAACAATTTACGACAAAAAAAAATTAAAAAATGAATTACAATATACTTTTAATGATGAGGCTATAAATAAATAAATAAAGATTTTGATATTTAAATGGTTTCTAACATCATTATAAATAGGACTTTGTTCTCTTGCTCTTGTTCTCTAATAAACTTGCTCGCATATTTCCTATCCATTAGATTTTTTATTCTAATTTGGATTGGATAATTTTCAATGTGTAACACAATCCCATCTAATAAACATGGGTTAATTTTATTAAAAGTAATTATTGGTAGAAGATGTTATTTAATAATAGCCAGAGATATTAATACTTAATTTTATTTATAAAATATCTTATATGTATTATAAATATAATCAAGAGTTGATGTCTTCTACATAGGTAATGATGTTCACTTCCATAAGATTCTTTATCCATGATTATGATGGCGAAAATCATTTAATAAAATTATTATTAGACAAACTCCTTGTTCCAAGAACATTTGAAGAATTACAGTCAACCCCCTAAGTGCGCCTCCTTTGGGAATGAGTGAGAGCGTGCATTTAAAGAATTATTAGCTGCACGTGACTCATGTGATACAAATCAATTTTTAATTTTTTTATTTGTTGTTGGTTAGATACAATAGGTAATGTTATTAGAAAAAGAATTTGATTTAACAAACAAAAATTCAAGTTTTATTTATAATCTGAAAAACAATCTGATGTTTTTTAAAATAAACTAACAAAGAAAATAATAACCATTAGTTAATAATAGACAATCATTTTATTTAATTAATTATAATTACCATTTGAAACCTTTAAAGAGTATTATAAAGAAACAATTTAATATTTGTCGAATAGGATATAAAATAAAGTATGGGCAAATGAGCGATTGCAGATGTCTTGTAAAGGAAAATAAAAAGATCAATATAAAAATATAAACTTGAACTTTTGAGGATAGTGATTTGTAACAATTCGGAATAATAGTAACTTGTATATAATGATAATAATAAATTCATTATAACAAAATGATTTTCATTGCACATATTACGTGAAAGTCACTGGCGTACATTTAGGGAGGGTGGCTTTATATAGTTGGGAATGAAAAAAGGCCGTGCATTTAGAGAGGGTATGCATTTATGAGGGTTGGCTGTAAAAGTTGTCAAAGAGCCCTTTTCAACAAAAAAAGAAATTATTTTGATATTTATGCAAGATAAATTGTTTTACTTCAATAGACATTTATTTGCTAAGTGTTCTTAGATCAACTGCGAACTTCCTTTTGTTCCATTATCATTACAATATATACAGGTGGAATCATACTTGCCAAGATATCTTTATTAAAACGTGTCTAAACAATGTCGAGGTATCTTCCAGCACTCCTAAGTTTGCTTGGCATAACTTAAAAGCAATATTTTTTTTTCGAATTTTGAAAATTTCAATCGATCGAAATCGAAATAAACCCATTTAGCCATTGTGTATGATCAAAATGATTTCTATATTTGCTTTGGATAATTGTTATTGTAAACCATTGAGATGGGAAGCTGCTCTTGAACAATTGGACTCGTTTTCAAGAAAACATAAATTTGAAAAGAAACGGATTAATTAGAAACATAATTGGCACGAACCGCAAGTAATGGATAGCCTACTAAGTATTAAATTAATAGGATATTTCTGTTGAAATTAGTCACTTTATTATTGTGTCAAAAAAACAATATTTTTATCTAGTAAAAGTCTCTACTTTCACTAATTTTTTATCACCATCATCTTCTTCTTCTTCGTTTTCTTTTTCCTCATCATTTACCATCATTCGCTATCTCTTTTTCTTTCCTTATTAACACATTCTTGAATTGCTTTGGTTATTTTCTCTCTAGGATTGATTGTTATTTGCATAGGCTTTTTATGGTAGAAACAACTCTTTTCTTTCCTCCACGTAACTGGTGGATTTCAGTTACCATTTTGTTAAATGAAAAGTCTGGACCTTTTCCTTATCATATAACGTTCAAGTCCTTTCCATAAATCTTTAATGTTCTCCGAGAGTTTATTTATTTTTTAAATTTTCAGGCCCTATTGCATTAATTATTTCAAAATTTAAAAAGTTTTCAAGCATTTGGAATTAAATATTGGACAATCATTTAAATTCATCATTATTATAAAATAGTCGAAGCATACTTTTGATTTTTAAATAAAAAAATATTTTTCGGCCTTTAAATGAACGAACGAAATGGCAGCAATGTTAGTTAATAAAGGAGGATGCTCCAAGAAGAAAGCAAGAATCGAATCGAACTTGGATGCCTTTACAATGTGATGCCGATTTTTGTGATGTTCGTGATTCCGTTTTTCTTTCAAGAAGATATTACAAATAAATATGAATTGATTTGTTGTCAAAAGAATGATCGAACTACACATTCATTATTCGATGGGTCACTTGACACTTTAGGATGTTGAATGAAATAATAAAATTATTTTATTTCATAAAATAATTAATCACAAAGTATTATCAGTGTGTATACAAAATATACAATGAATCTATCCTCCCAATGGAAAGCACTATAGAACTGGTTTATCACATATCAATAGCATTATCTATTCATAGTACAGCAAGTGTAAAGTTAATTAATCAAGCTAAATTGCTGAACGGACCTTTCCTTCATAGAGCAGTTTGGTGGAGAATTAAGCTGCTTTTGCTTTGAAATAGATTTTATAATCCACGTCTCTTTTCCAAATCTCCAAAATTTAATTTCCTACATCACATACCAATACCAATGCATCAATATCCACATTTTCGCTGCTAGTTAATACGGAATGCCATCATGGACAAAATTCTGTTTTCGCCTGGGATTAACCAGGGAATCAAATGGATTAAGGTATCAGGGAGTAGTGATTATTCATGGATTAATAATCTGCAAACTGACGATGTATTAATTTTTTGGAGTTTAATAAAAGTGAAAATAGTGAAGTATAATTATTAAACTTGAAGTTGCAGGTTAATTGTCATACACATAAAATATCTGTCAGAATGAACCCACCTACAAGTAGCCAACCATATACAATCAGCTTATTTCTCTGATTGTCATGTAAATATTTCCACTTTTTGAAAGTATAACTCACATTAATACAGCAAGTTTGACTTTATCTTTTTCTGTGAAGCAAGTGGCATACCAAGTGGACATAGTCCATATGCCACTTTTCCATATAAGGCTTCAAAATTATTGGAAGTCCTTGTGAGTATGCCTTTCATACATCAGGAAATTTTTTCTGACGCAGATTTACATAATTATTACACTATTTATGGTGGGCCCCATAATATTATGCAAAAATCACACAAAAATTGTGCAAATATTACATATTAAAATTTATGAATGTAATAATATTATGGCGGGGAAAATTTCCTGATGAAAATCTTGAGAGATTTCATTGATTTCACTTTGGGAGAACTCCTTACACCCATAGAGACTTTCCTGCATTGGGTCAAAGATGCACCAGTAACTCAACCTATTAAATTGCAAGCAAACTTAAAAACAAGTAATTTTATTATGTTGAAATCATAGCAACAAAGCTTATGTTATAATTTGACATATCTTTGGAATTTTTTCTTGATAGTTCTTGAATTTCTTTGCAAAAATTTTTGTTTTGGAGTCTATCAAATATAATTATATCAGCATGCTAAGAATATAATTCTCAAGTTTTGACTTGACTGTATCAAACAAAAACTTACATCAATGATCTTCTTTGAAGCTGGTAATGTTGTCTCTCCTTTCAAACCTGATTCATCAATAGAACTAATTAAAACATCCTCATTCGATTCATCAAAGAGAACAGACTCTTCCGTTGGTTCATCATTGACTGTTCTTTTTTTTCTGTTCATTGGAACTTTTTTGTCCTTCAGGATATCTTGTTTTAATTACTCCAATTTCTTTTTTTCATTTATTTTTTTGACTTTTTAATGGCATTTGAAAAAAAAAACCATGTATATAGTGCAAGTCACTTAGTTACCAAACTTTTTGTGCCATGATGCCAATTCTTCGAAAAAACTAGAGTGATGACAAGTGGTGGTGATAACCACCACCACCATTCTTACAATAAACAACACTTACCTGGCAATTTCTTCTCTTTGATTTTCTTTTTTGGTGGTGGCATTTTTAAAAATTTTTAAAAAAGAGATTTGTTATTTGATCAATAGCGCGTACACTAATGGAATCCCATATTTTTGAAAAACAATTTATTTTTTGACAGATGACAAAACGCGAGTGATGTTATTTGGCATGATTGGACTTTAAAAAGAAACGTGTTAATAATAACTAACCAGAGATAACTTTTTTTAATTTGCATTGATATGTCTTTTATTTTATATAAATGAATATTATTGAAATCAAAACGCGGAGCAGAACTCGCTGGGTAAATATAAGATTCTCATCAAGATGGTAAACAATTGGTATTTGGTTTTTTTGTAATCAACATTATTATTAACATTAAAATACATAATAAATTTGTTACTATTATTTTTCTTCTAGAGATCTTGGCTTTTTGTTGGGTAATAATGCATCATCATGATGTTTTATTTTTTCAACACTTATTATTTTTCTTTCTTGGTAAATTTCATTTATTTTGATGCAATTTTTTCATCCTGTTCCTTTTTTAAAATATTTCTAATGGTGCTATAATTCTTGGATTCTATGGTAGCTCTGATATAAATTAGTTTCATATTAATTATTTTTATATAGGGTAGTTCTATATCATTTAAGATAACAAATGGGATATTCTTAAACGGTCAAAGTATTCTTTAATGGTAACACAAAATGATTTTTTGATCACGATCTTGCATTCTTATTGGCCAATTTAACGATCTGCAAAGTAAAAATAGTCAATTGACCAACTTTTAAGGAATATTTTACAAAAACCATAAGGACAACAACCGAATTTTTATTCACAGATCAATCAGCCGAATCTCAAAGAACATTTTCGTATTAGGAAGTGATACCTTCAGAAAAAGTTTCTATAACAGAAAAAAAATTTCGGCTATCAATAGCCGAAAAACCGTTTAAGGGATAAAGCTGTTAATTATGATCACATTACTAAATTTCGATCCTTTGAAATCCTTGGTATAATACCAATGTTCACTTTGTTTCAATGTTAATGTTGCACGTAATGTTTTTATTATCTAATGGTTTCACCGATTATAGTCTAGATAATAATGCATAAAGAACACAAAATTGGGAGTTCGGTTTTATTGGAAAAAGATCTCAAATTAAAAAATTTCAAACCTTAAATAAATAGGACTGATTTTTTATGAATATATATTAATATCGATTTTGGTCAAAGGGCGCTTAAGGTACCTTTTGCTAGAGAACTCGATGTTGTGAATCGCTTGAGTAAAAGGGTAGAATGGCAAATATTTTATTTTTATTTATTTAATTTAAATAAACAAGATTCAAAAAAATAAAAGGCTTATGGACTAAATGATATCATTAGCCAAGATAAAACCAAACAACCAAGAATTAATTTTGTGATAATTACTACCCCAGAAATATTTATGTATAATGTAAATAAAATGTATTTAATTAATCGGTATTATTATATTGTTATCATTTATTATTAATAAATAGTAAACTAGGATTTATGTAACAAAGGTCTTATCTAGTACGATAATTTTTTTAAATTTAATCTTTAAGGAGATATATTGTTGGGCATGTAATTATTAATAAAAATATATTAAATTCAAATATTATTGATTTAGACAAATGAACCAATTTATGCAATTCAATTTTCTCTTTATGATAGACGGACTGCATGAAGAAATAATATCCCAAATAAGGCAATGAAATGTGTAAAATGACCGTTTTGTTATTTGTTATTGTTACAATCGCTGTCGCTTCCATCGTTGTTGACCACAACAAGAATTCTAGAAGTTACATAAACATGTAAACATTAATTAAAATTAATTTATTGGTAGAACCTGAAAAATCAATAACTTGTGGTGTGTAATTAATCAATGCATATTTATTTTTAGTTGTTTATATTTTTTGCATTTTTATGAGGATTATAAATACAAGAGAAATTTACCACTCTTTATTCCTCGTCTTTAAACCATAAAATTCACTGTTTATTATTAAGAAAAAATTATTTTTCTTTCCTTCCTTAATACAAAATCAACATCATCCCCTGCCTTTATTTTCCCTCTCTCGCAATCACACTCACACTTTCATTACCATTATATAAAATAAAAAATACCTTTCACTTCTTTTTATTTTTCAAATCAATTATTACAAAATGAAAATTTTCGCAATTTCTGCCGTTTTATTGATCATTTCAACCGTTGCCAATGCAAGATTTTTTCAAGAGGAAAAGAGTCCCTTTATTAAAAAATTAGAAAAATTCGATAGAAATAGTGATGAGGGTGGTTTCCTCGCTGATATCTCAGGAACTTGTATTGACTCTTTGGTAGCAGATGCTCCACCTTGCTCCATGCAAGATCAATGCGACAAGATCATTGATGTGGCTAAATCTCAGTTCACACGTAATTAATTGTTTGATTGATTGATTATTAATTAATTAATTGATTTAAAAAAAATGACATATAATAACAATACTTTTATTTATAGGTTATAATAAGCAACAGAGAATACAACTTATTAAAATTGCCCAAAGCTTGTTACAAGCCGAAAAGAATACACCAGAAAAGGGACAAAAATCTGTTGATTGTAACAGATTACCAAGACATCCTGAACTTAACGGTTTGTTCGCCACACAAGACCCTAGCAATGGTCCCGGAAGAAAGTTGAAACCATTCGTTCCCAAAAAATTCTCCAAAATCAGAAATTTTGTACTTAAACTTAAAGGCAAAATAATTTCACCTGGAAGAAGATTCCAAAAGGCCGGTCCCCACAAGAGAGGTGTAACACCAAAATTCAGTGGTAAAATCGACGGAAGCATCGTTAAAAGAAAACAATCAACAGTCCTCGATTTGGTTAACAGAATCGACCGAACCAAATTAAACAAAGCTCAAAAGGAACAATTGACCAAATGTATCAAGACATTGAAAGGAAATAAGAAGTCCAAGTTATCCAAAGCCGGTTGCGACAGTCTCATCCAAGAATTATTTGCGAAATTCCCAAAGAAAAACTAAATAATAATAATTTATATTTTTATAAATAATATACAGTGAACATTTAAAATTTTCATCAACATTCGAATAATTTTCTCCTCCTATCATTATACATTCGCTATAATATAAATATAAATAATATAATTTTTAATAAAGGGAATCAGGGGCTTTTTTTTAGAATAATAAAAAATTTCAATATAAATAATAAATAATAATTAATCTTGCGTTATTATATTATATTATTGTTTACCATGTATGTAATACGTACCACATCCGTCATCCCATTTAAAAAATTTTATAGATCTTTTAAAGTGCCAAGGATCGAAAACCATATATGGAGTTGCTAATTAATTTTAAAGTTACACCCACTAAATTGGACCAGGAAAACATTCAACACTATGATTCGAAAGTACTTAAAAAATGTAAAGTGTGAAGGTGGTGACCGCAACACTATTATGGTGAATTTAAATCCAGAAAGGAAGTCACTACGTAAGGAATACATTTTAATTAGCTTCCGTAAGTCATTAATTACCTAACACTAAACAGAAGGTTTGCGCTAATGTGATTAGGCGCTTGATGTCGGTGAAATTATTTTATTTCATGAAATGTATAAAGTAAAATTCCACTAGTATTAGTAATATCTATTTTCCACCTGGAAATTTCCCATATAGTATTAATATTAATTAATATTAATAAAAAATGTCTCAAAGTTGATGTTTATATTTTATAGCTCATAAATATACACCTTTTTTAAATATACAAAATGCGGGATTTTATAAATATGCACATGACTTTTTCATTTTGATTTTTTTACTCGTTATATTTTCAACATAACTTTTTTAAATGTTCAATATATATACATATATAAAAAGAATATCTGTCTCAATAATCACGGATTTTAATAATAAACCATCATCATTATCAGATAAACAACAAAAGAATAGGAGAACATTGATTCAATCAGAAGAGATGATGACGACAAACTATATGATATAAACCAAAAAACTGAAGAATAATCAATAAAATAGAACCAAGAAAAATTAAAATTAAATAAAAAAATAAACCAATCCAACTCACTCACTAGTAATAAAAGAAAGTATTTGGAAGAAATCGAAAGCTTGCGGAAGGAGATCTGCGTATTACTTTTGACCCTAGAAAAGCAATTGAGAAATGGGTTAATATTAATAAGAGAAAGAAGAGGAGGATAATGATAATGACAATGATAAAGAGGGAGAAATCAGCAACATTAATAATGTTATTTTAAAATAGTTATATTTTCACCAGAGTGACCAAAGGATAGATAGGCAATAGATAAATACTCATCCATCTTATAATTTTTCTATATCTTGGTTGCAATGAAATCAATAATAAAACATGATTTATTTTTAATCCTTTTCTTGAGCATGAATGAATATCTTTGTCTATTGTATCATCATGTCTATTACAATAATATGTTTAATCTATTTAAAAGAAAGAATTGAAATTATTCTTCCGAATGGAACATCTAAATTATTTTTAACAAGTATTAAATTAGAACAAGAGATTACGTCACCAAGGGCTACCGGAAATAAGGGAACTAGATTATTGAACCTTTATAATATATAAATAACGTTGTAATTTTCTTCATTTTCCTGTATCTTTATAACTTCATAAATTGTAACCATTTAATAATAATAATAATAATAATAATAATAATAATAATAATAATAATAATAATAATAATAATAATAATAATAATAA